AAAACATAGCTAGATGGCGAACTAGTCATTATTGGGCTCACAAAGACTCTTTATTGAAATAAAAATTCAATTTTCTTCCAAAATATGTATGATTTATTGCAGTTTAAGAATTAAAAGATGCATTATTTTGGTCTGGTATGCGTTGGCTTCCTTGCCGCCCAAGGTCACACGGTGAGAGTTAATGGCATATTAATAGAAAACAAGACCGATGTGGGGTCTATTTAAAGCATGATAGTAAACAAAATTGAATTTTGTATCTATTGGTATAGGTTTTTAAACAACATATACGCGGGAACTTTACGAAACGTGGTATTGAAAACTGCCGACCATAATTATCACCCGCAGTTGCGCGCAGTTTTCTGTACTGCTATCGCTAGCAAACGCTAGCTTTTGTATTTGATTGGTTTAACGGCGTTTCTTTTACTGATTGAGAACACTTTTAAGTTTCAAGCTATTCAGCATGGCTTTGGATTCAATTCAAGGCGCTCAAGGCTATAAACATTTTCAAATTTAATGAATTTTCTTGTTGGATTTGTTTTTGATAGGCCACGGAACAGGAAACGGATTTTGAAATGTATTTTTATTGTGAGTTTATCTGTGCCGGGTGGGGTGGATTTGTGTCAAGTTTCTTTTCTGTGGTTAGCTGAGATACAAATCAAAATAGTTTTTATATTGATTTGCCATCGGGATTATTAGGTAGGTACCTCTCCTACGAAGTATGTAGTCTACCTGAAGTCAAGTCTATATAAACCCCTCACCCAGATTTGTTTTGGTCCTCTGCTCTCTTCTTTCCATGATCCTGATCCTCTCTTTCTCTTCTGCGTCTCAATCTCCTGCTTCAGGTTGAGACCCTGCTGTGGTTGGCCATTTCGAGTTGTGCTTTTGGAGCTTGCAGCAATGCGTGTTGCAAGTAACTCACCAGAAAAGATGATGCTCTGAGAATTAATAAGCAAAAGCCCACAAAGTCCTGTAATTGACAAGTTACATGGATAAGTTTGAGTTGTTATATCATTAAAGTCTTGCAATGTGTGTAGCGATCATGAAATACATGCCCTCTGCGGGCTTTGTCCACCTCTCCCAAACATCCACCCTGCTAAGGGTTGGACAGACAACTATCCGATGGGGGAAGCCTGGAGGTTCCCCCAGGGTCCAATCTTATAAAATGTCTTACTATTCTATTCACGACATTTGGTAACATTTATGGTGATGTCAGTGCTGTCAGTGCTGAGTCTGGGTGAGTCTGGGAGTCTTGACAACTCACCTCAACCTGGGTGTCTGCCCAGACCAATGTTTCCTCATCAAGTCTCCAGGTCTCCACTGCTCTCCTCGCCTGTTTCAGCTGTCTACCCCTGCACGCCTTATTCCTGACTCCCTCTCTCATTCGCTTTACCCAGGTTTTGCCAATGTTCTGAGTGTGCAGTTGCTACTTTTCGGTGCGCACACACCCCAGACTCTCCATCCAATTAACGCCTGAACAGTTGCTGAAAGTGCCTCCCACCAGACTTGCTGAATGGCTACTACTTGCATATGCTATCTGGACTGAAGCTTCCCCAACTAGCTGCCATGGCTCTCGACAGCTGGGCTTAATAGGTCACAGGTCAAAGTTAATTTGGGTCAGGTTCATAAAATGTCAAGGACATGTGTAAAATTGATCAACTGGAGGGTACTGAAAGTTTCGTCGCAATCGGCGTCTTTTTATGCGAGTTATGAGTTATCCGCGAAAAACCGAGGAGGGGTCCGTTCGACCCCCCCCCCCATACGGGCGAGGGTTAGGCCACATTCGGAAAGTCAAGCTACATCTAGCTAGGCACATCAGCCTATCACGGGCGTTTGACTAGTAAAATATAGACATTTGCAGCCTTTTTTTGACGTTGAATAAGCTGATTTAGTTATAGGTCGTCAATCGTCATTATGTGCCTGCCGCCGCTTTTGTCGTCTTCATTGTGTGCTTTGTGGTTTTTTTAGTTTTGATCATATCATCCTCCATCAGGCTTGTTTCTGGCGGTGGTTCTGGAGACAGCGTGTCGATCCAGCTGTTGAACGTCATCCGGAGGTGGCAGAGTGTGATGGTCAGCCACGCGGCGCGCGTATCGACATTGACCAGAAACTATCACATCCAGTGTTGCCGTTGGGAATTTTCGATACGTACCAGATTCTGAGTGAAAATGTACCAAAACGGACCTATTTCGTACCATATGGGGTATGCCAATGTACCAAGTTATGTACCATTGTATAAAATACACCAAAACGTCATAGATGAGCAAGATTCTACATCAATTCCGGTCAATTCCTGTGTTTGGTGCTCATATTTGGATATATGTGACATCTGCTGTCCGTATCCACTTCATAATATGATTTGCTTTAACCGCATTGATGTTACGTAAATCAGGCTAACAATAATTGTTACTTCTCATACCTACTATATATATTGCTAAGGAATATAGTTATAGTTCGTTTTTTTTTTCAACACCGGTTTGATTCCAAGTTCATTATCGAAGCTTTCACGTTAGTTTTGGCAACCTCAGCGTCTGGCCAATTATAATTTATTACCGGTAAAATATTCAATTTCAAATTATGCTCGTCAAATACATGCAAATTGTATCTTCAAAAATTATCACATTATGATGACGTCACTGGTGGCAGCTGGCAGCTAATATTCCTACGGTGGCTTAATGTGTCGACGAATTAATGAAAATTTCAGTTTCATTGTTACCGAGGTCAGAACGGAGTAAACAATTCTGTCCATGGTAGTAAATAGTAATAGGTACTGGTTATACGTAGTAAAGGAATCTTGAGTTATACGAGGGGGTATCGAAAAGTTCTGATCATCACATAGAAGATATAGACCTATTTTGATGATTTTTTGTTGGTATTATATTTGGTTCTCAAGAACAATGTTCCCGTAAGGAAAATCCTGAGAAGTGGTTTTATCGTATGTAGGAGAGACTTAGAAGTAAAAAAGATGAGTATTGGGCCCATTGAGGACCGAACCGTCATTCAACTATAGCATATGAAACGGTATCACACTGATATAATACATCAAACACGCGAAATTAGTTTATGGCGAGGAAAGACCATCTCATGCACTTACCGAAAATGAAAAAAATAATTTTCAACTTGGTTGCATGGCCTTTGCAGGGGAGTCAAGAAGTGAGTGACAACCAGTGACTGACAAGGTGGTGACTGTGAAGGAAGTGGAGGACCTCATCCTTACAGATCGTCGTGTGACCTTTCAGATGGTCATGCAACAGAAAGGTCTCAATGCTGGCAGTGCCTGAAAATATTATCAGCAAAGAACTACAGACGATAAATGAGTCAGCCCGCTTAGAAGTTCGTTTGCCTACTTTGTTGAAGAGAAAAATGCATCTTGGCCTTTCGAAACGAAAACCCTTCTTTTTTTTAGGAATTTGAAGACATCTTCGATCATTTGATGACTTGTGACGAATGCTAGATCTATGTGTATGATCCAGAGACTAAAAGATGATCAAGAAGTTTAAGCACGGCACATCTGTCCTTCTTAAAAGGCGAAGATGCAGAAGCCGATATGGAAGGTCAATGCTATCAGTGTTCTGGATATGGCGTAGGATAGTCAGTACTGGCTGTCTTGATGATGGTTGGATAATGATAAACAAGCACTGCTGCACACTTTTGAAGAAGTTGCGAGATGGCCTCAAGCAGAATCGCCGCAAAAAAGCCCAAGAAAGATGTTTTATCCTCACCGACAGCGCCCCCGCCCATTCGTCCTGAGCTGCGGTTGAAGAAACAACATGATGTGGACATTAAATCCTACTGCATCTAACAAATTCATCTGACCGGGTATTAACTGACTCTTGATTGTTACGGGAGATGAGGAATCCACAGTATGGCCGGTGATTTAAGGACAGAAATGACGTCATTGATGAGGTGGAGCAGTGATTTACGGGACAGTGCGAAGGTCCTACAATGACCGCCTGAGGCAGCTCAAGAAACGATGCAATAAGTTTGCGGTCGTGTGTGGTGACTTGCGAAGGAGTAATGAATATCATGTAAAAAAAATAAAATTTCTATCACATCTAATTCATGGTAATGATCAGAACTTTTCGATACCCCCTCGTACATTACATTGCAATGCAAGTTCGACAGCATCACTGTTCCAATGTTTAGTTCTAAAAGGTATGCATGGAAAGGCGACGTTCGATTTTCTCAAGCTCAGTTTTTGGTCGTTTCGCTGGGTAAAACGCGTGCTTAGTCGAAAAATGTATTTGGATTCAACCGGTTTTGAAAAAAAACGAACTATAGGAATATGCTTAGGAAGATGCTTATATAGTGGTCTTCCTGTTACAGCATATTCGTTTTCATATTGATTCTGATTGATTTTGGTGGCAGAATTATATAATTTAACGCAAAAAAGAAATGCTTGCGCGAAACCGTGAAATGTACCAGATTTGGGCCTCAGTGTACCAGCGTACCAGAAAGTGTTGAAATGTACCAGATCTGGTACAATCGTACCATAGCGGCAACACTGATCACATCTTCTCGAGGTCAGTACCTAATTGTGTGAACCAACGCGTCCACAGGTCAGCTGTGTCCCTTTCGTCACTAGATCAGCGACGTGATGGCAATTCTGTGACCCGTCAACCGCGTCCTTAGGTGGGTGGCTCGGGAGAACTTTTGTGTTGCCGGGATGGGATGTCTGCTAATGCAGGTGCCGCTGCAACTTAGTGTCGTGACGTATGATGGGTCTCAGGTTCGGGTTTCGATTTCTCGAGTGAGAAATGTGTGTACAGGCTTATGTACTGTTATTATAGCTGAGTGTGCGTCAGGAAACGTTATGAGCTATGAGTCGTGGTCGCCGTGGCTCGTAGTGGTATTTGACGACCGTCGTGACCTGTGACGGTCACCGTGACTGCTATGTGATGGTCGCCGCGGCTGGCATATGACGGCCGCCGTGACTTCTATAACGGCCTTCGTGACTGAAACGTGACGGTCGTCTTGACATGCCGCGACTCGCTGCTTTACAGGTCACTGGTCGAGGGCGCTCGAGCTGACGGTGTCTTCCGACGGCTCCACGGTGACCAGCGCCGCCACCGCCGAGACCATCCGACTCCTGAAATGCTAACGGCCGTGCACGAACAAGAGGCTCAAAGCATCCAGGTGCAAGGCAAGCGCCATGCTCAGAGGAGTCATCCGAAGAAGGCCGCACAGTGCACTTTAGGGTGAGCTCGGGTGTAGTGCGCGCCGACGGATAGGATGAAATGACGGGCCGGCCATCAGATTTCAGTGCGGGGATCAAGATGGTCGGAGCCGATGTGGCTCGGTTGATGGTGTGGCAGGGTTGATTGAGAGTGAAAGCGAGACACCCGGATCTGTAAAGAATACGCCGATACGGGTCTCGAACGTCGTCTCGCAATTTGTGCTCTGTAATATGACGGCTATGCCGTGGTATCATTCACTCTCGGTGCGCTAATAAATAATAAATAGGACAGAGGCTGGAATTAAGATATTATATTTGGATGTAAGGGGCAGGTTTGGGCCAGCGCTATTTTAGAAATCGTGAGCGTGCTAGTTTCAATCAATCGTGCGCTTCTTGTTGAGCATCTGTGAGCGAGAAAATACTTTCTTTGGAACTTAGCAGTAAGCAGTTCGTCGTGAAATATTTGTATCTTTGGAGTAAGTTGTCAGAACATGAATGCATTTTTGGTGTCCACTGCAGCTGCTGTTCTGGAACAGAAACATGCCGAGATCGGCTGTGTTTGTATGTTGTGGCAAAATCAAGCAGCCGTACCATGAATCAAAAGCGATATGTGAATTAAAGTGAATATATTTCACTATTTTTCAGTTTTATCATACAGATCACAGAAATGCGTCAAATACTGATCACACCCGGTTCCAAACAAAAACGCTTGCGATCACTGGAAAATAAATAAACAATAGATACCCATGTGGCTGCCCCTAGCGTGATCCGAGACTCTCTCTCTCTCTCTCTCTCCCTCTCTCTCTCCTCTCCCCCCTCTCTCTCTCTCTCTCACTGTTGTTGCTGACGCACACGGCCGAATCGGCCAAGATGGAGAGCACGGAACGATGCTGGTGACTGGCGGACCAGCGAAAACAGGAAAGGAGATAAAAAGCTCTAGCTCCCGTCTGCGCGCGGAAGGGCGCTGATTGGCGCGGCTCACAGACTCCATTGGCTCATCAGACTGTTGTTGGTTTTCTCCCTCCCCTCCCACAGCCCTAGCCAGGTAGCTTAGTTGTGCGCGGAAGCGAGCGGCCAGAGCGGGGCTAGGCGTCGCCCTCCCAGGTACGGGCAGTGCAGCTGGACTTGCCGCGGATGGTCCCCCTCTGATCTCGGCACACTCGGCAGAGTGCGGCCGGACACGCCATGGAGTTGCATAGCGTGGATAGGCCGTATGGTGTCGCTCGTTATTATAAAAGCGTAAGTAGAAGGTTGAAGCAAGATAGAATGCCATCTTTTTTCGAGCTTTGTTACAAATTATTAGTATTGGCCGTTTCACTACATATAATATCGCAAAGCACAGCTTTATGCGCTGGCTACAATATATGCGCGTCGGTTGCGGCAGTAATCATCGAATAAATATATGATTTATGAACGTTTCTTGGTCATAGAATGATAATACATTGCAATGATTACCTGTTGTAAAGAAAACTCCTATACTGCCGCTCTATCGTCCGGAATTATTCGTGTTTTATTACGGTGATTCCGCCACTCTATCAGCTGATTTTTGTTTCCGAGTCACGTGACCAACCGGTGTCTCCCTGCATCCTTGGACCTTGTGATCTAAGTGTGATCGATCATAAATTGTCTGAGAATCAGAAGTTTAGCTATAAGTCAAGAACCACGAAACAACCAGCTTATAGCTGGTGGAAGAGCCGCCACTCAGAAGCTTTCAGAAACCGTGAACGGTTGAGATAGCCGACAGGTTGAGAAATCAAGAGACTGAGGCGCCAGAGAACCAGAGAATGCCTGGGAACTTTAAGGAACCGCTGGCTACCAGATCTTGACTAGAACCAGAAGCCATGAAATACCATTTCACGATCTAAGATGCAGATTCTGGTGCCTGAAAATCGTGTGAACACACTTGACATTCCAACAGCAGCTCATTTCGGTATCGTTATAAGTCCAAGGCTGCGCAGTCGATGGATATTCGGTGACTCTGACTCCAACTCCGACTCCGGCTTCCAAAAACCAACTTCGACTCCGACTGTGGGCATACATTACCTATCGACTCCAGCCGACTCTATTTCCGACTTCGACTCCGCAACCCTGCCAGGTCTGCGGAGTCGATTGGTTTTCGGTGACTCCGACTGACTCCGGCTCTGGTTTCCAAAATCGACTCCGACTCGACCCCGGTCAGAATGTGGTTATAAATAACATGTCTGTGAATAAAAGCAGTTTCGGGTGCAGCCACCCCCTTTTGCTTTTCACTCTCAAAAGCTCGTCCAAAACAGGAAGATGAACAGGAACTTAGCTTAAACATCGGTCTTGGAAAGGTCACCGAACGTAATATTTTTTCCGCAAACAGACGAAGACCACAAATTTGAGCAATGACATGTCGATTAAGACTCTGAATCCGGGCAAAACTGTCGACGCCGATCGACTCCGACTCCGACTCCGCAGACCAAAACTTTGTTCAACGGATTTCCATGAGACTTACGCCGGCAAAATGTAGATAAACGTGCTCCTCTCGTCAATCGCGTCAAAAAACTTTTAATGACGACAATAACACATTAAAATTAAAAAACACATAAACACATTATCGAGCGTAGAAGCATGACTCTTATGTTACGTACAAGCGTTGTTCAGTTTGTCTGTAAGCACCATCAAATATCGCAAGCTTCAAAGGGTCAATGCCCTGGGGCTGTGACGTCACGCTGGGGATCGTGACGTCAGCCGTGGGGTTGCCAGTCTAGTATGAACTAGACTTCGACCCCCCTGGCCAGAAAGGCAACGGCGATATGTACGGCGGAAGTGCTGTGGTCTTTTTGTATCATGCTTAAATTCGGGACGCGATTTTTTGAATGATCGTTTAACCTGGGCCTGTTCATGAAGTCTGCGGCCGCTGCGGCCGGCCGCAGGCTCTAAGCTCCGCCCATTTTTGAAATGTCATCACTCACTCGGCCGCAGCAGCGCTCCATGACAGGCGCGGATACAAGGGGGGGGGCCATGGGGGCCATGGCCCCCCCCCTTGGCCGATTTTTTTTCAAAAATAAAATAAAAAGTTAAAAAGTTAAAAAGCTGAAAAGGGGGCCTCCTGAAAATAAAGTGGCCGAAATCCGATGAGTTTTTTTAACCTACCCAATTAGTTATTTCTTAGAAGACTAGCTGAGAAGACTTCTTTTTAGAAGATTGGTAAAGCTTTTCATAACTTGGAGGTCTCTTATACTCAAAGAGATGACCACTTTTACAGGGCCTCCTAACCTGCACAGAGGGCCTCCAAGCCTGCACAGATGTTGAGATGTTGCCTGAACGGCTAGATAAGCTCAATAGACGCAGTTTTTTTGGGGGGCCAACAAGTGGGAAGATGGGGCCTCCAACAGGTGGGATTATGGGGGGGGCCTCCTGGTTTCTAATGGCCCCCCCTTGGAGATTTTCTGGATCCGCCCCTGCTCCATGAACAGCGTCTGCTGTCGAAATACTTTCCGATAATTGTTTACAACTGAAGCACACCGGTAGATAATTTGTTTACAAACGTCTCCATGACAACACGGCTTGCGCCTATTTGACTTCAGTGCGCCAAGTTCAGTGCAATTAGTTTCCTTGAGGCTCGGCGGTCGCTGGATTGCGGCCGCAGAGATCGCAGCGGCCGGCAAGATGACGTCATACATTCATCATACTACATGAGCCCCCCCCTTTTTGCGACCGTAACAACCGGCTGGCCGCAGCGACCGCAGCGGCCGCAGCGACCGCCGGGGTTCATGAACAGGGCCCAGGCATAGTTAATTTTGAAATTTGAACATGTCATGATTTCATATCTTATTTATGTTTATCCTTGATTTCTTTTATCTTGATAGTTGGTAATTTGTATTTATCATGATTATGACCAGGACTACGCGCACCGTAGTAAGTACCATTTATACGTTTCATATATGTTTGTATCTAGTTTCCTTATTCGGATTTGTTTGCTATTGTACGCCTACCTAAACGCCATGTATTCGATCGAAAGTATTTGTTATAAGCGAGAATATGTAGTGTTCTTAATTTTGTATTATGTTTCAGGATGAAATTTGTACTGAAAATTGAACGCAAATTATACATCACGGTGCCAACGTTCGTTTACGTTACAGGGCCTCAGGACAATAATGGCGCGGTGCGCCACAATCGCTTCAAAGCTAATTGCCAACACATGTCATTTTGAAAATATTATTATTTTGAAATAAAGTTACAAGTAATAATAATATTGTAATAAAGTTGTTGATTAGATCGATATCATATCTAAAAACTTACTGAAAAATGATTTATTCATAGTAAAATTATAAGCTCGATGCGTTTTTACGTTGCTTTCCTGCACCTGCAGAGAGCTTTTAATTCGTTTATATCTTCAAAACCGGCCATTCCTTAGCATATTGCTGCTCTTTTTTATCGCTAGAAAATTAGTTGGACTTTCCAATGACATCAACGGTTGAGCGATATGTGTAGAGTGTCACCAACAGCCTTCAAATAAAGTTAGTCATTATTACGTTGTAAAGGAATGGAGTACCCCTTGCGAGCATCAGGGGTGACGTTACTCAGGATCTGTCTCTGATTGGTCGGCGGGGGAGTGACAGTACCTTCTATAGATGGCCTTGACCCTACGTCTTCCAGCAAGATAAAGCTCCAAGCCTCCACAGCACCGGCCCGGCCGTGTGCCGTGTGCTCACGGCCCGGCGTGAGCACACAAAAAACTGATTTTCTAGCGATAAAAAAGAGCAGCAATATGCTAAGAAATGGCCGGTTTTGAACATATAAACGAATTAAAAATTCTCTGCAGGTGCAGGAAAGCAACGTAAAAACGCATCGAGCTTATAATTTTACTATGAATAAATCATTTTTCAGTAAGTTTTTAGATATGATATCGATCTAATCAACAACTTTATTACAATATTTTTATTACTTTTAACTTACAAAATAATAATATTTTCAAAAATGGCATCTGTTGGCAATTAGCTTTGAAGCGATTGTGGCGCACCGCGCCATTATTGTCCTGAGGCCCCCTCATGTCATCAAAAGTGGAGTGACGTGGGTCTGCGTAGGGTGCGCCGCCCGGTCTCATTGCTTCCAGGGAAGGCAGCAGCACATCTTCGAGGAGCTAAGCTCTCTAAGATGCGGCCGCATGTGGGCCCGTTATCCGATACAGTTCGCCACATCCATGCCGATCAACCCAACCCCAAACGTGCACGCTATCTCGGGCACTCAGTGCTGTCAGATGGGGAAGACGGTAATCCTCCAGATTCCTCCAAATTCCATTACAAACCCTGTGCGCAATCCTCTAGATTGGGACCTTCAAAACGGTCGGGTGTAATAAAATGCCACGTTTAAAAACAAAGACTGCAGCTTTGCACACCTCAGCCCCCCCAAACTCCAAAGTCATATGGCAGCATGGGCGTGACCTTTCCTACTAGCCCATAGGGTTCTGGGTTGCGTTTAAAATGCGACTTTTCGCACTCGGTTTCAAGGTCTCGTAGTGTGGGCATCCTCATATAAAGTATGTTAAAAGATAGCTACAACCTTTTGTTTCCATTTTTGGGATGAAAGTTCAAGCCCAAGCGTGGAGTTTTTTTTTTGGCCATTTTCTTATCTCTACGTTTTTACGATGGACAGTGTTTTCAGGGGATGTCTGAAAAGGTAATTTAAAATGAGTATAACTCATCGGTTAGTCCAAGGATACCTATAGAATTCGGGTATACTATCAAATATAGGCTCAGTAGTCATATGCCAGTCCATTA